TTTTACTTAGAAAAGAATTAAAAATTTTCAAAAAAAAAAAGTCAACAAATCAGTTTAGCCTTGTTTGGCCTGCACCCAAGGCCCACCCTGTGGCCTAGCCCAACACAGCCCAAGCCCACGGCCCAGCCTAAAAAGACATGGGCCTGGGCCGTGAGTCGTGCCAAGACAACCCCCAAAATTTTCACCGAGGGCGGCACGAACCATGATGACCTATGGGCCAGCACGACACAACCCACTTTATGGGCTTTTGCACCTCGCTTAGCCTCCATGCTTAAAAAAGGTAGGGGTGCAATTTGGGTGGGCCCAACCCGCGTGAACCAACCTAGCCCAAAATTTACATGGGCTAGGTTTGGATTTTTGGTCCTCAGGCTAGGTTCGTGTTGTATATATACATATATAGATATGTATTAACATGTATGCATACATGTTAATATATACATATATTTACTTATATGTACACTATTGGGGACTCGTGCGATGCACAGATTTTGTTGAGTGAAAGATAAATAATAAAAACACATAAAAGTAGATAATTGGTTTATATTTCAAATTTTTAAATAATTAATAGTTATTTCTAATAATTTTTTTTATATACAAAAATAACAATAATTAATTTTAGCTAGGTTTGTTCATCAAACTGATGAAACTAACCAACCCGACCCAACTTGACCCAAGTTGGTCGACTTCGATTCAACAACTTTCCAACCTGATCAAGCTAGGTTAGTTTTGGTTTGGCCATTTGTAAACCAATCAAAACCCAGCCATACCCACCCATTTGAGAAGTGGGTCAAGATGGGTCAAATTACCCATTGGGGTCAAGTAAAAAGGGTTGGGTCAGGGTTTGAAAATGAGAGAATCAAGTAACCCTTTACCTTAACCTCTCCACCTTCACCCTCTCTATTTCCACCTCTCTACCTCCACCTCTTTATCTCTCCACCTCCTCCCAATTTTGGATTTTCTACATTTTTATATAACTTTTTGTGCAAAAAATTCTGTATTTTTCATTTTTTTTGTATTTTTTTTGCATTTTCTATAATCTTCTGCTAATTTCTGTATTCAAGCATTTTCCCCAAAATTTTCCATTACTTATTTTTTTCCAAAATATATTTTTTTTGAAACTCTTTACCGTTCTATTTGTTTTATGCATTTTTATCATTTAATGCATTTCTACGAGTTTTACTTCATTTTCTATATTTCTTGGCATTAGCTAAAATATATAATTTTTTAATTTTTTTAATTTTATGTACTTATGTCAATTTTTTATTATGGATTGCAATATATATATATATATATGTTTTACATTTTTATAATTTTATGTGTCTTTTGTAATTTTTATAATTTAATATATTTTCTACAATTTCCATATTTTCTTGTTTTTATGAAATTTCTATTTTCTTTAATTTTCGTAATCTTTGCATTCTGTACTTTCCTGCAATTTCTTGTAATTTTTCTATATTTTGCACAATTTTCTATGTTTTTTACAATTTCTCTTTTATACTTTTATTTAAATTTTCTATTGTTTACTTTTTTGTAACTTCTAATGTTTTACATCAAATATATATTTTTACCAATTTTGTGTTTTAATGTTTAATGTTTTTTTATTGGAAAATTTTGAAATTTTTATGCTTTTGAGTTGAAATATATGGACCTTTGGTTTTTGAGCAATTAGAATTAGAAAAAATAAATAAATAAATAAAACTATTTTGAATTAGAGGGTCAAGTGGGTGGGTTAGGGTGGGTCATGGTCAGAGTGGGTTGTGACTCACTTTGATCCGCTAACATGAGTGGCAAATGGGCTAGTGGGTGAATATGGGTGAGTTGTTACTCAACCCTCACCCAACCCACCCATTGGCCACCCTTTTTCTCTATAGCTTCAGTCATTTCAGCGAAATGGGATTCAGTTGGTGCAAAGCCTGATCAAATAACCCTCATAACCTTACATTGGAAAATATCTCTCCATGAAATAAAGCATAGAAGTACGGAGATGTTCCTTATGCAAGGCCATAAAAGGCTATTTGAACAGTGTTCGAACGGGCCTTGCACTGACTGAAGCCGATCTCCATTTCGGCATAAAGGAAGGAGTGCATATGCAACAATGTCAAAGTACTGGAGAGGACAATGGTATTAGCATAAAGTAAGGTACTGAACCCCAACTGTGAACGGGGAGATTTCAGCAATTTGCTCTTTTTCTTTCTTTCTTTCTTTTTTTCTTTCTCGTCTCTCATCTTATCTTTAAGCATTAACTATGGTTCTCAAATTCTAGATCTATTCAGTCCTCACAAAATGGTCTATGTATCATACTCACAGCCACTTGCAACTGTACATTGAAAATATTTTCCCGTGAATAAAAAACATATAAATACAGTGGCTGTGAATACAGTGTGAACACCATTTTGTCAATACTGAATCCAAGTTCCTTATCATGATTGCTTTGTCTAAAAAGATTTAGGCCCTGTTTGGTTCACGGGAATAGGAGTCTGGAATCGGAATCAGAATGGGCTATTCCGATTTCAACTGTTCGATTGGATAGAATCGGAATCTATTTCCCTTCTTGCTGGAATGACATTCTCCTATTTGAGAGATGACCATTCCCTACTCCTCCCTTAGGAATGAAATCTCATTCCTGTTGATTTTAATTCCCATTCCCATTCATGTCTGAACCAAATAGATTATGGAAATGAACCATTTCAAGTCCGATTCCAAAGAATTTCGATTCCGATTCCAACTGAAAACCAAACGGACCCAATAGCAACCTTAACATGATTTTTTTATCTAATTTTGAAGATAAAAATATGTTCAAATAGCAACCACTACATTAAATTAATAAAACTTGGGTCAGTAGCTTTCCAGGCTTCGGTGCTAATTAATATGTGATGGACCGGCACCAACCTTAAGTCTGTGAATTTGTACTGATTGTAAAATTATAGTAGCGTAAATGATTTGGGTGCAAGATTTAATTTATTTTTGTTTTAAAATTTATCTTAATTTATTTGATTGCATTAAAAATGAAGTAAAATAAAACTAAAGTAGAATAAAGTAAAGTCGAAAACAAAATTAAACCAAAATTTGTATTCTTTTTTTCATTTGCACTCTCATATATTTATACTAACACAAATAAAATTGCACTGCAACAAACACCAAACACAGAAAGGTTTTGACGGGTAGCCTGGCGATGATATCAGGTGACGAGCAGTAGTTATTCTACAACAAAATGGTAAATGCAATCATGTATGAGCATTGTTCATTCTGATCCGAAAATGAATTCTAACCACATATATGGCATTTGTCTTCGGTTCCACTTGTGATTTCAATTGCTATGAAATGACAAGTTTGAAGGGTTGTTCGCTGATGCGCGCCTCTTTGAATAGTTTATGTGGATCGAGTATTTTGAAGCAACTGAATGGCAGAACCAGCTTAACTGAATCTTCAATTCAGCCCTCCCAAATGGACCCTAAGCTGAAGATTTCTCAGTTGCTTTGAGGTGCTTCGGATAAGCTCTGTAAAGAAGCCGAAGCAGACAGCTATTCAAATGATTGACAGCCGATTCAGGCTCTCATCTCAAAACACAAGCTAATAGGCTGTCCTTGTGGGGCCCATCTTAAAAGCAGAAGCCGCTAAGCGTCAGCCCTCCCCCCCCCCCCCCCCCCCCCCCCCCCCCCCCACCCCACCAGACGGGAACTAAGAGCCCATTTGGAAAATCAGCTATGATTTGAAAAGGCTACGGAAATTAACTCCACCTACAGTCAATGGGATTATCTGCTATAATCCCATTAACTCAGTAAAAAACATTCCGGATTTTTCAGCAAACATAGCTTTTTAGACTTTCCCTGAAATGAAAAGCTGGAAGCTGCTGCTTCAAAGCGCAAAGAGCGAAAAAGAAAGCAGTGAATTACATTCGATAGGTGAATAAAATCCAAGACCATAAGAACGTACTAACTTTATCCCATAGATGAGATCAGCTCATGCCTCAATATTAATTAAACATGGAAACCAGATCACTCTATCAGATTCAATATCAATATTCAATTCAGATGTTGCTAACCATTAGATGACAAGCAATCAAGCATGGGTCCCAGAATTCTCTACTTCACAAGTCTCAAAGTTAATAAGGGCAAGGACCCACTTCTCCATTTTGCTGCACAGATCTTCTCCAATTCTTAACCTAAAGGGGGATTCTAGTAAATAAGGGCAAGTTTTTGCCCTTAATATCAATAATAAAAATGGAATAATTTTTATTAGAAAAATATCATAAAAAGACAATCGCTCGTCTTCCTCCTTTGCCTCTGTATTCACCCGCTTTGATGGCACAGGAGGGGGCAGAGGAGGCGTTCCCATGGACTGCTCTACCTCTATATTCAGCTCTGAAGAACTGTACATCTCAACTTCCATTAATGTTGAAATGGAAATACCTATCCATTGAGGCTATACCCCACTCTATCTTGCGCACTTGAAGAAGAAACTCACTCTATCTTACACACCTGAAGAAAAAACCTATAATACATCAATTGATATGAACCCAGCAGAACTTTCGACGTTGGAGGAAGTACTGGCGTACATCGTGTTTCCAATTGGATTCGCTGCAATTCCCATAGTGACAAGTACCAGCATACCACGTTGTCTGCATCTAAAGAATAGATTTGTATATTATAGGCCATCACCGTGAGGAGCTCCATGAACCTGAAGTTTACGATCGTCTTTCTGCATATAGTACACGATTGTCGAGGAAGATAATGAACAGTGGCATTGTCTTTATTTTATATTTTTCCAGACAAGTACCTCGTTTTATTTATTATTTAAAAATAATATTTTTTATTGATACCCTTATCTTATCTGCTATGATCCCTAACCTGAAATCAGCTTTTATTACCTCTATCCGTTAGGGCGTTAGGTTGGAGCATGTATTTTGTCCTTTCCCATCCAAGTAGATGAAAGAAGAAACCACGTGCCGAACTTCCACCCTTCCCCAACCTTCTCACTCTATATTATAACCTGGCCCCGACGCCCCTACACACCAGACCAGACCAGACCAGCCGTGTTACAGTGCAGCTGACACAAAGCCGCAATAAGCATGGCTTTCGACATAGTCCTTGCTCGCGAGCTTGTCGCAGCGTCTATCCTCTTCTTGGTTACACGCCTTTTCATACGTCGAGTCATCTCCAAGCCACGAAAGCTTCCGCCCGGCCCCAAAGGGTGGCCGATCATTGGGGCGCTCCCACTGCTAGGCGGCATGCCCCATGTCGCACTAGCCCGAATGGCCAAGCAATATGGCCCCGTCATGTACCTCAAGATGGGTACTTGCGGAATGGCTGTGGCTTCAACGCCGGACGCTGCCCGTGCATTCCTCAAGACCCTCGATCTCAACTTCTCCAACCGCCCCCCCAATGCAGGAGCCACTCACCTTGCCTACAACGCTCAGGACATGGTCTTCGCCGACTACGGACCGAGGTGGAAATTGCTACGTAAACTGAGCAATCTACACATGCTCGGTGGCAAGGCCCTTGATGACTGGGCTCAAGTAAGGACCATTGAACTAGGCCACATGCTCCGGGCCATGAACGACGCATGCCGCCGAGGCGAACCAGTTGTCGTTCCGGAGATGCTAACGTATGCCATGGCCAACATGATAGGGCAGGTCATACTTAGCCGACGTGTGTTTGCGACCAAGGGGTCGGAATCTAACGAGTTCAAGGACATGGTCGTGGAGCTGATGACAAAGGCCGGGCTATTCAACATCGGCGACTTCATTCCATCGATTGCTTGGATGGACTTGCAGGGGATCGAAGGGGGGATGAAGAAGCTGCACAAGAGGTGGGACGGCCTCATCTCGAAGATGATATTCGAGCACAAAGCCACGGCTCACGAACGCAAGGGAAAGCCAGACTTTCTTGATGTAATCTACGCCAACAGGGATAACTCGGACGGAGAGAGGCTCACTGAAACCAACATCAAGGCCCTACTATTGGTATGAAATATGAATATGATGTTCTCACGCCACCACTTGCATCTAGCTTCATCTATGTATATATATATATATATATATATATGGTTTCTCGTTATCTCATTTATTGTTTGCGTAATGCGTAGGATATTTGTGTTAATTCCGGCATGTGGGTTACAGCAACAAATTATCCCTAAACATTCTTTAATTTTCTATATAGCTTTTTACAGTTCTTTAGCTTACAACTTAATTGCTTCATTAATTAATTCTTATTAYGTTTGGTAGAATTTGTTCTCGGCCGGGACGGACACATCATCGAGTATAATCGAATGGGCGCTGGCGGAGATGCTGAACAACCCCAGCATTCTGAGACGTGCACATGAAGAGATGGATCAAGTGATCGGCAGGAACCGCAGGCTGGAGGAATCCGACATAGCCAAGCTGCCATACTTACAGGCCATCTGCAAGGAAACATTCAGGAAGCACCCGTCGACGCCGCTCAATCTCCCAAGAGTAGCGATCGAAGCATGCGAGGTGAATGGGTACTACATACCCAAGGGCACAAGGCTGAGTGTCAACATATGGGGAATTGGGCGGGACCCAGTCGTGTGGGAGAACCCCCTGAGCTTCACCCCGGAGAGGTTCTTGAGCGGCAGAAATGCAAAGATTGATCCTCGTGGAAACGACTTCGAGCTGATCCCGTTTGGAGCAGGAAGAAGGATATGTGCAGGGACTCGAATGGGAATTGTGCTAGTGGAGTACATACTAGGCACACTCGTGCACTCRTTTGACTGGAGAATGCCAGATGGGGTTGAGCTAAACTTGGACGAGGCCTTYGGGTTGGCTCTCCAGAAGGCTGTGCCGCTCTCAGCCATGGTGACCCCTAGATTGGCCCCTACCGCTTATGCCGCTTGACCCCGGCCCCGCCCAGTAATTAACAAGCTGCATGTTAATAATCTGGCTTCATAATCGATCAGCCACTTATTCTATGGAGGTCTAGCTCTGCTAATAAGTTCTAATCTCTCGTGGTATTTTATAAGAGGGCTGGATGGTTGTCCTGCATTTCAATTTCTTGTTCTTTATTGCTTTTTGTTGGATTCAGTTTCGGTGCTATAAATGGTTCTCTAGTCATAATTAATGACCTTTTTTTATGACTAATCGAACTAAAGTAAGTAAACTAATAATTAAACAACCATAGCCCCGAGCACTTACATTGGTGCTTCAACGTGTAATGAAGTTCATAGCCCCGAGAAATTAATAATTAATGTGTTGTTCTCTGAAAAAGGGTGGTCTTGTTTAGAATCGTACCATTTTTCATTTTCTGTTTTGAGAATGGCGACAGTGCTCTCCATTATTTGGCGTGTTATTCATTTTTTACCTGTGACTATTGATTGTGAAACTGATGTTTGTCCTTTCAAAAAAGCAATAGACAAAGTTACTTTGTGCCAATCAACAAACAATGTTTCCTTTTTTTTTTTGTGGTAAAGATAAAGTTATATTAATCAAATGTATGGTGGCCAGGGGTCACTCACCACAGGCTTTACACGTAGTCTTCACATCTCTCATTTTTCATACTCGTAAAATATTAAAAATTTCCTTGTTTTTCTCTTCATAAACCCTATTATATGTTAATTTTCTTCATTGAAACCTATCATTACTCTTCTCTAATAAAATTGAAATTTGTTCTTAGTTCTCTCCCCCACCCCCTCTTTTCTTTAATAGTCAATCTTTGTAATATCTCCCCTCCCCTATTAAATTACTTATTTCTTATTAAATACTTTTAAACCCTTTTGGCCCTCTCTAATAAAATATGAATATATATTAGATGGGATGGGTGGGGTTAAGGACAAACCCTAGGTCAACCTTGCATATGGACCTTGTCTTGGAACCAAATTGATGTAAAAACCTAGTTAAATTTGTCGGTCCAAATTTCTATTCAACACCATATATTTTTAGAATCTGGATTAGTCCTCACAAATTTTGTCTTCATAACTTCCCACAACACTTGCAGCCCTGCATTGGGAACATTTCACGTGAATGAAAAAAATTGAATATAAAGACTGTTCCAAAGGCTCAGGTTGAAAGGAGTACAAATTCAAATATATAAGGTGCAAAACCTTCTAATTAGAATTATTTTGTATCTATTTGTACTCCTTCCAAACTGAAACAAATGTATGATTGCAAGTGTTGTGAAAACAGTGCATGTGAGGACAAATTTTGTGATGACCGAACCCGGTCCTGCATTGAATCCCGATTTAATACTCACAAAATTTGTACCCATACCATCCTCACAAGACTTGCAGCTGTGCATTGGGAACACCTCCCCACAAATGAATGACTGTAATTTCGATTAAGCCAGAGATGAGCCATGCGGTAATGAAAAAAAAAAAAGATTCAAAAGATCTTGTCGAGTGCAATTGTCTATTTAAACTAAAGACCTCCACCACCCGTGAGTTATGATCATAATCCTCTCAATTACAAAGTTAAAAGTTTCTGTTTTCTTTATAATCAGCCAATTTTAGTAGGCAGACCAAGATGGACACACGGCTTAATTTTGAGAAATCTAGAAAGCATCCTCCTGGGAAGTATTCTTACTAAATTAAACCTATGACTTGTGAAATATTAGCAAAAATCTAGAAAGCATCCTCCTAATTTTGGTAAATTTTAGCTTGATCTTGAAGATATAAAATATTAGCAAAAATTAAGCATTTTCAGCAAGACGCAAACAAATAAGAGCTTAGGGGAGAGGGGATCGATCTCCTTGTGTAATACCTCTGGTTGGCTTAAAACTCCCAAACGGGAGACCCATTCATGCACAAGGGCTCTTCTACAGGGAACAAAGAAAACACAATCCACAAGTCACCAAACTCCATTTTAGCCATGGTTATTTTTTCTTAAAATCCCAGTCTTTATACCTTTAGTGCTTTTGTAAAATTCCATGAACCACTAAAATATTATCTGAGATTTGATGCCCAGCATTTTTTGTTTTTCTTAAGTGCAAATGCAAATTAATTCATTCATTCATCTCGAAGACAAATCAGAAATGAGAACATGAGTAATGAAATTAATCCGGCCGGGCACTCCGACCAGCATATGGTGAGCACTCAAAATGACCCTAGTTGGAAGAGGAATTAAAGTTGTACTCCAGAATTTAGACCAAGTGAGTGTGCCATCAGAATATGTTGGGTCATCCTTTGCAAGAAATTTCAGTCCTGACGTAGTGGTGTAGTTGCCACGAGGAGTACTATGCATCCAAACAAGTCTATATGTTCGCCAAGAGTTCACATCTCCGCCCCACAGTACATCCCCGTCATGTATTGAGAACATTTCTCGATGATAATACATATCCTAATGATGTCATCATCGGTAGATGTTCCCAATACATAGCGGGGATGCGCTGTGAGACATTGTGGGGTGACTCCTTGTGGGGTGGAGATGTGATCTTGTTCAGCCAAACCGAAACTAAAGATGATCAACTCTCTATGTCATCAGAATACAATTGAAAGTTGTAAGTTGTTCTAATATATTATTAGCAGGGCTCTTAGGGGGTGTGAGATCTTACTAGGGTTTCCATCTTCAAGAATTAGGGTTATTGGAATCTTCAATCCTCTCTCTCTCTACCACATAAAAGTCACTATCTCGAGTTTGGCTCTCATTAGAAAGTCTCCTAAATTTTAATTTCTTGCTTTGAAACTTTTTTAAGACAGTTGCTAATATTTAATAACCCGAGTATATCGGGGATTTACAATTCAATCAAGACACTACATGTCAGCCTTAAAACTTTGTTATAAGTTCCATTGTTACAAGGACTCATTCAATATTCATCCCACACTCCACTGAAACCCGAAAACTAGAGTCATACTGCAACTAGGATTCCTCCCTATGAGTCCCAATTCAAATAGGATCTTTTCTGTATTTTACCAAGAGGGACTCGTATACTAGTCCTTGTCTCACTAGGATTCCTCTACCGCTAAAGTCCTAATTTGACTCAAAGTTCTTCGTAGCGACACTCTTCTCTTATCCCAAGGTGATGATTTGTTGTTAGATATTCATAAAATCATAAAATTACTCACAAGCATCCAATATACGGAGTCTTATAACCATAGATCATCAGTGATCATTCTCATGGTATATCAAAGTGAATAATCACAACCCTACAATCCCATAACTCTTTTGAGTGACCTGTTTTATGAGTCGGGTAGTCCAAAGGCCTGGCCTGGTCTGGCCCGTTATTTTTCGGGCTTGGACAAAACTTTAAGCCCGTAGGCTTGGGCTCAAGCTTTAAATGTCAGGCCTGGTCATTTTTCAAGCCAAGCTCGGGCTTTCTCAAATAAGTCTGACCCGATATTATTACATATAAGCATCTATGTTATATATAACATATTTGTTTCTTAAGTTATTAATAAATATTAATTTACTATTAGAAAGTACAAATTAGTTTATTAATTTATTAAATTAATATAATATTAGTTTATAATAATACACTAAAAATAAGACATTTTGTGTAAAGGTCAGGCTTGGGCTTTAGACTTTATATAAGGGTTAGGCTTGGGCTCAAGATCTAGGCCCAATGGTTGGATCGGGCTCAGGCTCGGGCCTGCACATTTTCTATTGATAAAGAGGCAAAGCCTAGCCCGGCCCGACCCATAAACAAGTCTAAGAATTAAAAGAACTTTGCATAAGAGTTCTTTCATGAGTTAACTTCTCTAACAGGATCTTATTAGTATATGTTATGTTTGTGCCTTGAATTCTTTGTGGCGACCCGTTTCATAAATCCGCTCCGAATTAAATTTGAGAAAAACCCGAAAGCAAAATTTCGTAGTGATTTGTGGTGGATGCATAGGGCGGTGGTATGGATTCGATGCATATTCATCTTATAGGTCTGAACCGAATACGAAGAGTTATGTATTTCGGGGATTTTCTCTCTTGTAAACAGCCTCTTTGTCTTGTGAGAGACGAGTGAGACATTGGGCATAGTTCGGGCTTAATTTTTTCTGTGAGAGCACAACTCTGTATTTCTTCTCCATTGACAACTTCATAGTGAATTTCTACTCCTCCTCCACCTGTGGATGTAGACTATAAGCCGAACCACATAAATCTGTGTATTTTTTTGTACTTGTTTCTCTTTATCTCTAGTTTTAGATTTAGTTTAGGTGCCATTCATTCAATCTGTTTTCTTGGATTTTTTCGCAACAGTATATATCTCAATGCACACTCACAAGGTATTTTAGAGAGTCTCACCCCAATGATTGAGATCCCATAATAGCATTTTATGGAAATTATCCATTTCTTAACTTTGAAAGAAGACCATTCAAGCTCACTCTGAATTGGAACATTTTAGGTGTATAGGAAACTGGGCCATGGATCTTGCATGATAAGCCTCACTTATCATTTTCATCCCCAACAATACTTGAATCCTGATGAACTTGCAAGAAAATGCAACTGTATAGAATGCTTAAAAAAACAGTATAAATTTATTAGCAAAAAGAATGAAAAACTAAATACATCTGACTTTGAATAAACGCATAGGAATCTTGTGGTCCCATATAACATACAATATTGTGGTCCGAACCGGCCTAAGGGTTCCAAACCCTCACCCTCTCCTACATTTTATTCTCAGTCTAGATCTCTTACACTTTGGCCGGCTTGGGTTGATAATTTGTCAAAACTTTAATGGCCTTGGCCAGAATGAAAAGCAACCCAACAGCCAAAACATTGTAAACTTTTCAACTCTGATGCCCTATTTGCACCACTAAATAGGGTATTAGGTACACTAATAAAAAGGTACATTAAACCCTATTATCGCTTTTATTACTCTAATAGTTCAGTTCGATCAATGTTAGTACAAGACTGTGTTCCCTAGCATGATGGTAATAAACACAAGAAAAAGTGTTTACATTTCTTGTACACTTTTGGGCAGTAGCTCTAGTTTGATGCACAGGCTGTAATTAGGTCGGATTGTGGTATCTGATATATTGGATTTGGATTGGATTCAGATTAAATTCAAGTCAAACTTATATTATGCTTAAAATGAAATAAGATGGATGAAATTTAAAAATTATTTACATTTTAAATTATGAATGTAGAAAAATTTATAAAAATATAATATCGAATTTATTAGATAATTAAAACATTATATAAGTTGTATATA